GGCTGACGTTCATACGCGATAATTCAATATTAATTGAAGATTGCGGTTCGTTCTCTAATGGTTTTAGATGAGAAAGCATTATCATGAATTTGTGCGGAATTATAAGTGGTCTTCTAATGTGGTCTTTTTCGGACCTATTATGAACAGCAATCACTATTTTAGAGACACGCTGCTGTGAACGCAACGGTTATAAGAGCTCATTTTGACTGGACACATCAATCCCACTCACTTTCCATAGCAATAAGCACGATATTGAAGACTAGCACTCAATTTTTCATATTTTCTGGCAAGGTTCCATCTGTTTTGATTGGCGTCTTTAAATAAAAATTTTTGCTAATAGGCAAAATGCGCATGTACCATAAGAGTTTGAATGTATTCACTGCTCGCGCATGCGTAGATTTTAAGGGGTTGGTAAGCGGACAGGGCTTCGAAAGTGGATACCACGGCCCTGACTCACCGCCTAGACGGGGCAACCGCGTGCATGCCGCGCTGCCATGCGTATCTCCTTGCCTTGCCGCAACTCTTCACCTGGAACTGCACAGACCTTTCATAAATATCTTTCACTTACAAAATTAAATGCACAAAATCGCGCTCGAGATCTTTGTGTTGCACGATGTGATAACGAGAAGAATTATTGAGTGACTATATAAAACATAATGTGTTTATTAATCCAATAATTTCTCTAAAAGATCCATTTTTCAGTCCTGGGAAGTGTCTGAATAATGAATAACCAGGTAATTATTTGCAGTACAAAGTTTGCGTTGCTATCTGCGTATTTGCTTGCACGTTACGGCTGTGTGCCTGTTCAAATATGAATATCCGTCCATCTGGCAAGGATGACTTGGTATTTAGCTTAATTAATGTCTTTTTACCACTATACTGCTTAGAATATAACTCAGTACTCACTGCAGTGAGTGACAGAGAGTGCATTTTCTCGTCGAGGAAAACGTGAAGTCACGGACGGACAGACAGACAGACGGACATGGCGAGCTCAATAGTGCATTTTTTCATAAATGAGAAAATGCGCTAAAAAATAAGTTCATGAGCTAGAGATGTGAGTTGCATTGGCTTCAATCAAGATAGTCTCGTTTTTTTATTGATGCCACAACGTATCACAATATTTAACTCGTATTTAAAAAGAACGCTTAATTTCTAGACAACAATTTTTTCATCCTTCATGGCAGCCATTGTATACCACCTTTTTTTTAGCTGAAAGTTTTATAAAAATGAGAGGATAGGCGTTTGTTTGTTGGCAGCCTAAATGGTGGTCTTTATTACAGATCGTGCACATTTGTTGAGCTTGGGTCTGACACAAAGACAGACCTTTTTTATAACCTTCACTCGGGTCTTAGGGCTTCGCCGCTGGGGGCTCAAGTACCTGCCTGTTTTACAAAGCTTTTGTGCTGAAGCTCAACGCTCCCAATTATTTTTGTACGAGGCTTTGTGCCAATTTTCAAAACGCACCTACCGTGGCGGTAATCTTGGGTTCGAATTTTTTTACCAGCTGTTATCCTTGTATTGATTGCTGTTAAATAGAGCCCCTGCGGTTTCATTGAAAGGTTTTTACAATTTAGCTATGACGTTGAATTATAATTATCGTCACTCTTAGATAGGATCAGAATTAATTTTTGTAACCTTGCACCCAAGGGAATAAAAATTGAATATTTCAGTTTTTCGAGTCTTATAATATTCTGAAATTCGGCTAGCACGAAATAAAACTAGTAGTAAGGATATCCATCAGGGATAATGCGTAGCCTTGTAACAGCCAACGAAATAGGAAATTGTTGTGCAGTGGTTGTGCATTAACGGCTTTTATCGTTTTAAGCTTTTAACTCCATCATGCCCTCTAGCAACCTTGGCTACAGGAATACATATGAAATGAAGGAAGAATTTTGGTTTTGCTGTCCTCCAATACGTACCCTGCATGTATCAAATACAGAGGTCACGAAGCATCCGCTTGACAACATACAGTCGATGTTTCCGAGTGGCATCAGTTAAATATGGTCGAGTTTATCTTTATGGATGACTGAGAAGCTTCCAAACAGCGTCCATTAGTCTAGAAAGATCTCGGAATTTACGCCGATACAAGGAACAAACAAAGAGAAGAGTGGCTTGCATTAGAGGGCTGACTCAGGAAAGTTGCTATATACGAGAGTGAAAGTGTTCTTGGTCGCGCTTCGGAGAAATGCTCTTATCTTCTTATGTAGGGGACGAGAGGCCGTGCTATTGCCCACATGGCTTCGCTGTATCAATTTATGATGTGTCCAGAAGCACTGAGATGCGGGCGCTGTACAGCCGCCAACACGTGGACAAACGGACGTGAGCAAAAACTTCTTTGAATATACGTACTGCACATTGACTTGGGATGACGATCATTTCATCGATCTGCTAGTGTCGGTCGTAACAAAATTTACCGCGTTTCAGTAACTCTTGCATCATAACTTATGCTAAATTATAATTTAATTTAACATAATAACATAATTGGCATTTATGCTAAATGCTATTGCTAAAAATTCTTTGCCCAATTTTGAAAATTATTCTTTCCACAATCGATTATTTTCTTCACACAAAACTTGTACTATAAAATTTTATTAGTTTGACTTTGACTTAGTTTAAAGGCTTTTTAGGCTTTAATCCACTTTACGTCTTTTAGACGTAAAAGCAAAAAAAAACGCTAATAGCTCTTACAGTAGGTATTCGTTCTATTGTTCACAGTATTGTTCACAGTCTACAGTATTCGTTCTTATTCTATTGTTCAGCGCTGTTGATATCCGTGACAATCCCTTCCAACATTCTACGAGCCTCAATGTATTCATGATCATCGCCATTAAGCTCAATTCCAAGCTATTATCCGTGTCGTGAATTATCTGACTTGGAGCAGTAGTTTATGAACCCTTGATTGGTTGGTCTTGAGAGGACCGCATTCCTGGTCACACAGCGCGCGGGGTCACCGCTTGACCCTGGATGTTCCGCTCAGGCACTTGCTGAACCCCCAGAGTTTGTGTTGAGCTCCTTGGGTGCTCACTGAACCCATTTATTGCTCTCTGAACCCTGAACACTCTACTGAGCTAGTGCGCACGTACAGTTGAGTTTAGTGTGATAATTTCTCGTGACCTAATAACTTATTCGAGGTGTCTGTGATCGGCACTGCCCCTTGAATTTTTGAAGCTCTCCTTCCAGAAATATTTATCTAAATAGACAGTCCAGTTACTACAGTGTGCAGTTAGTCAATGCTTCTAAGCTCGAAATTTATTGATTCTGAACATCAATGTTGGATGTCAGAAGCATATAATTATCCAGGTCTAACCACACGCGGTGGAAGATGGCGCTTAGAGTACTATTCCTAAATAACAGTCTCATTCTCACATATTTAAGGCCCTCCATCTAATTAACGCATTCAGTCATGCCTCTTTTACCTGCGGTATATCCTTGCTTCGTTTATTTATGGGCCCAAATTATATTTCAATCTTTTTGGTATGCATTTATTGGTATGTATTAATCAATGATGATGACATTTTTAAATATCATAAAAAATTATGCTTCTTGGAAGACATCGTGAATAATATTGCCAGTTTCGAAATTTTGCATTGCTTTCTGTTGGTTCCTTTGCTGTTGTTGTACTTTGATCGTATTGATTGGATAGCATGATCGAACACACGCTCTGATCGAGATGTGGGTCGCGTGTATCATTGATACTAGTTTTTTATGACACATTCCCGTTCCCGGCTTCTGGGACGACTGCCCTCGAGCTCCATGTTCTGTTAAAATTATTGTGCAATTTAATCGCGCGTGGAGCAATAGCGAATCTCTGGTTAATATTGTGTTTTTTTTAGAACTTCGCTCTGTCACTTTGCTTTTTGTCGCAAAAAATTCCCTAATTTTATTTTTAAAAGTTTTGAATAGAATCCGATGGAGTTAATTAGAACCCCATATCGGAGTTGCCGACGTTTTTACAATCGGTGTTATTAGTTTCTTGAGGAAGCTCGTCACTAGATTACACTGATCACCGCAATTTTCAAACGTTCATCAATATGCGTAAAGAAATTGTTGACACCCAATTTTCTTCCTGGTTATATATATATATATGCAAGTTTGATTGAAGACCAGAGCATGCTTTTTATTTACAATCTTCTTGTTCGTCTTTTCTATGAGTCGAACCAAATTTCTAGCTGGAGCCGGGAGATCGAAAAGCAGGTTTCCGAATGACATTTTAATAGATTGCAACGTTTCGAAAATACAATTTTCATTATCAAGCTGGAGATGGTTTTACAACATTTGAAATTGAATTTGAAATGACTGAAGTACATATGAATGGTATAGTGGATACAATAAAATAAATAATGTGGATACAACAAAATATAAACTTAAAATTACTCTGANGATGTGTATAAGAGACAGCCACTATACCATTCATATGTACTTCAGTCATTTCAAATTCAATTTCAAATGTTGTAAAACCATCTCCAGCTTGATAATGAAAATTGTATTTTCGAAACGTTGCAATCTATTAAAATGTCATTCGGAAACCTGCTTTTCGATCTCCCGGCTCCAGCTAGAAATTTGGTTCGACTCAGAGAAAAGACGAACAAGAAGATTGTAAATAAAAAGCATGCTCTGGTCTTCAATCAAACTTGCATAAAAGAAAAGCTTCTGCCGAACTACACCAATATATATATATATATATATATATGTTCACTCTATAAGTTTTTAATTTAATTCGATTAATTTTCGACTTTTTGCCGTTGCTATAATAAAATGACAGAATGGAGATGCCTGCTGAACAGTAGCTTATTTACGCGTATGATATTAAAAAAAGTCATGGATTCATCCAAAAAGCTGGATTCACCCAAGAATTCATATTTTTTCCATTTTTGAGTGGAAAAGATTTCAGTGCCTGTTGTATTAAGGTATAAAAATCCGGTATCTTAACAACGTCTCAAAGTGTAGACACCGAGAACGACTTCAAATTGTACCATTAATTGTGATATTTTTTATTGCAGGGCCTAAACCAAGATCAACTGGGCATCTACATCAAAAGCGTCGTGCCCAACGGCTCAGCTGATCAGGTTTGTTCATCTAGATTTTAGATAACTACAGAGAGGCTTCTCCACTCTTCGCCAATGCGTACAATGGACGCGGATTTACATTTTGTAGGAGGCTCACTCATTTTAATGAGGAAATTTAAAATACACGCGTCACCCTATTTTAAGTTGCAGACTCCCTTGAATCTGTGGTGAATTTTTATAATTTACGTAGGATTGTGCTCATTATATTGTATAGGGTGTATTCAGCTAGTAGCTCCACTTAAGCGTTAAGATTTCCTCGATCTGTGCAGTCTACAGATGTTACTACAGATGACGCTTTTTGTGCAGCATTGTCGCACATCATCGACTTGCGCGGTGATGCGTAGAAACCTCTCTTTCTATCGACAAATCATGCAGCTTCCAATTGTTAAAGATAGTCTGCTTTGCAATGAAACAATTCCAACTTTTTCTTCTGGTCTACGTTTCAAATTTTTTTTTTCGCTTGCGTTCCGTCACATGAACTATTTCGCTGGTATCTATACCTTTCACTGAAAGTATGAATTCCTACGTGTGAAGTTGATTCACCTTTCACTAGAGGTTGTCCCGACCGCGAAGGCAGACGTGGTTGGCGATATTGCCGGGTAGATTTTAGCTGCTATCATGAATAGGCCTCAAATATTCTGTGATATCCTTATATGGATCTCCCTAATTTGTAATCATTTCTCCGTCAGTCGTGTTAATTTTACCGTGGTCTTTTAACTAAAACGTCTTCAAGAAATATCTACTGTTTACAATCCGAATCGCCACCATAATCCGCTTTGAACCACAATCCGCTGCTGGTGCCTGGAGTCGAGACAAATCTTGTTTCATGACCCTATCAACTTATTTTTACATCTCCTCGAGTCCACAGTGCTATTATATTGGCAATGCTGGGGCCATACTTTATAAACTCGCTGAAGTACACGTAGCGACCTGAGTACATGCAGCGGCCTCTTTCTCGTCATTGATTGGTGGGTTTTGATTGAAATGTGGTCACTGGTCAAGGATTAGTTACAAACTCTTTAACTAGGTTTGATAGTACGGCCCTTGGTCTACTAATGTTCTTCTGTCGGTATTGGAGCAGCTTGCCTCTGTGCGATAACACTCGGTTTACTTCGGCTTGCTGGCTGGCTCCTGGCTCTCCCGTTCTGCGCAAATTCTTGTCTAGTGAGCGACTAGAGCTCGCATGAAAAACCGCAGCCCCAAATGTTAGCGTTAATTGGACCAATATCTAATTATTTGTCTCGGCAGTATTTACTGGTTGTCATTAAGAATTACAGCTCTTCACTTTTATATCCGATTATAGGCAACGAAACAGAAGCAGGAGCATAAGCATCCGAGCATTTCCCCGTACGAGCAGGAACTGTGAATGCATTACTGAACTCATGACAGGATGTTACCTTATCTTTATATGTCCAAAAATTGACGGATATTTTCCGTACTAGTCAGACATGAAACTGAGATAAACTTTACCTAATCTCTGTGCTGGATGGAAGGCTGAAAATTTAAAATATTTGGCCGTATTCTCAAGCTCTACAACTTAGATTAAGGGTATTTACTCTGTGCAGGATAGAAGGCTGAAAATTCAAACTGATTTGCCGTATGATCAAGCCCTGCAACTTTGATCAACTTTCTCTAATCCGCGTGCAGGATGGAAGGCTACAGGCTGGAGACCAGTTGCTGAGCGTCGACGGCAGGTCTCTGGTAGGGATCTCTCAGGAGAGAGCAGCCGAGTATATGAAGAGGACAGGTCCTACTGTGGTGCTCGAGGTCGCCAGGCAGGGGGCGTTTTATCACGGGCTCGCCACCGTTCTTGAACAGCCGTCGCCACAGGGGGTGCGACCTCCTGTCCAGGGTAAGTTGTGATGCAGCAGCGAAAATATGATTACGTTTATTACAATACCACTTGTTTTGCACAATTGAATATTGGTAATGTGAATAACGTACGGTCGTAATTCTTCGAGAGACGTTAAAACTTTTAATGATAACCAATGTAATTACCAATTATCCTCAAGCTAGAAGGGTAAAAAAAATCCCCCACGAGAGACTCGTTGCAGACCTATCTTAAATCAGTCAAATGCACACGGGCTTTCAATGTAACCTTCGTACGAGTGTCGCGAGGTCAGCTCGTATAGGCGCGGCATTATGTTCTATAGCTGCTCCAAATTTGAACTAATCTTTGCTTCACTGCCGCTTCCGTCGCAAAAACGGTAACTTCGAATTGACAAACCGGTTAAAGCATAATGTTAATATTTACAAGTATAATAAGTTTCTCACCTACTAACTCTTCTTCTATGTTTTACTTGATATTCGCAACTCTTGGGCTATATGCTATTTAATATTGTATTTAATTCGTGGTTCTCCTACTTTCTTTGCTAGATTTTTTTGTTCATTCCATTAATTCCTGTGACTTTTAAATCTTTATGAAAATATTTTTCCTTAGAATTCTTATTTGAATTTGTTTTTATCAATTTTAGCCCCTGTGAAGAGCACTTTTAGGTTTCGAGTTAATAACATATTTGCTGCAATTGTTACGCCTGGACTTAATACTGCCTCTTTCCGGAAGTGTGGGTTCTTTTTCAGTTGACTTCATATGGTTTCATGGTAAATGTTTTGCGTGAAATCACGTATCTCTTTCTAGTAGCATTCAGAGATTGATCCCTGGATCCAACAATAAATTATTGAAAATTTTCGGCTGAATTGTCTTCATATGTAGTGGTTTCTTCGGGAGTTTCTTGATATAACTAACCAAATGTGGTTCTTTTCCTACCTCCTTCTCTTCCCTAACAAATCACAGGACCTCGTCGTAGTTCATTCTCTCGCTACGAAGAGACGCGCACGTCCTACCCATTGACGCTGCTGTCCCCTGCCACCTGCGCCTCCTCCAGGAGCCTCTTCGTGCCTCCAGAGCGGCATGGCGAACTAGCGCCTGGCAAGCGTCACTACGACGTCCGCGACTACGGCCCTCCTCCTCCAAGGCCTCCAAGAGTCGTGCCCTCGGAAGAGACGCGTATGTCTGGCACGTTGTCACCCTCTTCGTACCTCACCATCCCAACCCCGCAACCCTTGCCCAGAACTTTGCCTCCTCCGCAGTCCGCTCAGCTACAACCGTCAAACGTCAGGGTCGCCGCCCTCAAAACTGCCAACAGCAAGTCCAGCCCCAACCTGGCCACCATCTGCGAGGCCCCCACACCTTGCCATAGTTCTTCTCTCTCTATTGAATCTTCCTGCGCTGGTAATTGGAATTTAACGAGCCTTAACTCAGCTAACCTGAACTGCAGTTGTGACTCTATTAACAAGCATGCGTATTCTAGCCGTAAGCTGTCTAATCTGTACGCCTCGTCTCCTAATCTTCTTAATGAGGCTACGGACGACAACAGCGACTGCGAGGTTCCTTATGAAACTCTTTCTGTAGATTTTGCTGCGCCCACTGACCCTCAGTATTCTCGCTATCCTGCAGCCTCTGCCTGCTTGGGTCGCACTGACAGTGAATCTAGCGTCTCAAGTTCTAATGCTGAAGTTGAACACAGCAGAAATCTTCCTGATTTCGATGCTGCCGTCAATGATCTTCTAGAGGCTCATTCTTCAAAACGTCTCAGTGCTTCATTAGGAGATATTGCCGCACGAAGTCGCCAGACTTCTGAAATAGAACACAGACCAGCAGTAGACATTCGAAATAATCACCTATTTCCTCGCTATACCTTCACACCTCAAAGTTCCTTTCCTTTGTCCCACTCCGTTTCTTGCTTTAGTGTAAGGGACATCGTGTGGCTCAAAGGGTCACTTCAGGAAGTAAAGGGGCAGTATTCACGGGAGGGCGATGCCCCGGAACTGTACGCTTGGTCATCCTGCGAAGATGATAGTAAGGTAGCCGGCATAAGAGGTTACAGTAGAGTTAGTCGCAGCTTGCAAGATGTGTCGAGCGTGCGTGAACTTGGAGATGGCGAGGTCACTAAATCGTCAGCCCCTCCTCCTAAGCACGTATATCAGCATCAAGATAATTTCGATACGACCTCAATATCGTTTTCAAAGCCAAGAATTCGTTCTAAGCGTAGCAACACCCTTAAAGGCCAGAAACCTTCACCTATGCTATCACGAAATTCGTATCCTCTACTCCCACCTAAGCAAGCGCTTCCACTGTCGGAAGTTTCCCCTGTCAAGTTGGATTGTTCGGACGTTCGAAGTAAAAACAGTTGCGTTCCGGTTGAAGGAACGTCAAATTCTTATATTTCTGCTTGTGAAGCAGAGACTTTTGCAAAAGGAATTCCTCGAGGTGCGTTTTTGAACTCTGCCTTGACGCCTGACAATGATGACTTTTGTCACAATGTCGGTTCCACCGCGGTTGTGCACAAAACCTTACCCTGCCTGGCTATTCACCGGTCTTGCCCATGCCTCACTAATGTTTCGAATGCAGATTGTTTACTTTCGGCTGATGGAAATAGGAATTTCTTCTCATGTTGCCGGGAAGAATTTGCTGTCATATTGCCTAGTTTACATGAATGCTCGGCCTGCCATCCTCTAGACCACATAAACGGATCACTGCATTCATTGAACCATACCCGAAATAACAACGCGACCAGCACCTGCAATAATTTTCAACACAACCTCTGCCATGAACATGAGCATCACATCTCCTGCGATAAGCTCGTCACTGACGCCTCACTGGCTTACCCTTGCTCCGGACCAGGTCCTGGGCACGGTAACTGAACCTCGACCTCCACCTTCGCACGTCGCATTACGAGCACTCGTGAGGCTATTCTGTTGGCCTGCACCCTCGTCCTGAACTTCCTGCACCTCACCGTTTTATTAGTCACTGTCCGATGCCCGTATTCTTGTTTTATCTTATCCCCATTGTTCTATTTTTATAGTTTTTCCCCGTGTGCAGTTTATTACGGAATATTCACCAGTTGTATATATAATTATCGCTATCGTTTTATTGTAATTTGGGCCTTTGTGGTGTATTAGATGTTAACCCTAAATGGTTCTGTGTATTCTAATCGATGATTAATTGCATGACTCAACTAAATCTAGTTCGTTGCTTATAACGCTTCTTTCCTCAGGTGCGCAAATGTCAGAAAAGTGAGCCCTTTGCGCCTCATTTTATTTCTGAGTTCTGTATTGAAACCTTAGTTCAATCGGTCATCGATATTTTTAATAAAATTTTTTGGAAGTTGAGATGTATTGTGTGTTAATTATTTGTGCATCTATTTTTTTTTTGCTTGCCTCGTAGTACAGTGAAAATTGTCTGTTGTAAGACTAATTTTTAATTTTTATTATGTTTCATTTGCGTGTGGTTATGCTCCAGATTCTAGTTTTATTGATCCGCATGAATTGCATTACACATTCAACGTATTCTGTCCACTTACTTTTTCATCTGTGTCATGACTGTGAATGTTGAGTCACCAATAACGTCTAGATGGACATGATGGACATAGCTAATAATCGTAACCAAGAATTATCATAAGCAAGTGATCATGACGCATATTGTGAGCAGATTCTATTTTGTAAGAAAACAAACATTTCATTATTTGAATGTAGAAAAACAACCATGAAGTTACGCACATGGCAGCTGCTTTAGGTTCATAGATGGAAGCAGGCATCTCATCATTATTTCGTGACTGGCTTAGACAAATTGTTGGTCACTCAGGTGGACCTCTCCGGCACGCCAGCGAGCGGGACCTTCCTTCCAGAGGGCAGCAGCCTCATGACCAGCCTCCTCACATCAGAGGCAGCCTTCTCCCGCCTCATCATCAAGCCCGCATGCAGCCCGCCAAGTCTGTGCCCGCCTTAAACAGTGAGTTCTTTATAGTAAATGGGGCTGATGCGTCAGGGTTAACTTTGTATGGTAATAATCAACAATCTCGAACAAACTGTTACTGTAAATTTATCTTCGATTATACTTTTGGTGCTCAATCAATGCGTTAATTGATTTTTTCGAATGAATGTGATCGGATGGATGCATGCAGAGTTGTTTATTGTCGTTCTTTAATTATTGAGCGGTATCAATAATACAGCTGAAATGGCTTTATTATAAATCCAACGAGGTTATGCGAACTTAGTATAAAAAATCGCACCAATGACGCTGCAGGTCACGTGTGTGCCGTGTAACCAAACTGACTGAAGCCATCGAACAGGCGGTAAATTTTAGTTGCACTGCATTACTTACCTCCTATTTTTTGTGTGGTTGTTACAGGCGAGCTGTCACTGAGTGGGGAACTTTCCAAGTCCACCTCACAAGACCCAGTCCATCTGCAGCACCTGCCTCCCAGCCAGGAGAGTTTCAGACCAGGATACTCTCGAGCTTCCTCCTCCAACTCACTTACGACGCAGCACCTCAGCATTGCACCTCAGCACCTGCAGCAGCCGCAGCAACATCAGGGCAACAACATCAACCCCCAGCACGGTCAAGCCATGCCTGCCCACCAAGCTCTTCGTGCGAGGTTCATACATCACATGGATTCATTTGATTATCATTTGATGAATTATTAACATAAGTAACTGAAAATCCCTGTGTTCTCGGGCGAGGTTTGATTTTTCGATGTATGACTCGTTTCTTATGTCTTTTTTCTGATTCTGTTCATTATTTATATTTTCTACGAACTATTCAATGAGAACGTTTAATTATATGCCTATTTTTTTACTTGTTTTGCAGATCGTCTCAGAATCTTAATGAGAGCGACGACCGTCACTATCAGAACGTTGCATTCCACGCCCCTCACCCACATCGCTCCCCTCATGGAGGACCCCCTCCTTCAGCCATTCATATGAGGGAGAACCCTGGCTCGTACCCTCGGCCTGCCTCAGCCCTGCTGCAGAGGGAGGATTTGAGACCTGACCTGTACCGCCCCGCCTCCCAACGAGACGTTCGTCTTCAGGAACCCAGGCTGGTGCACCTTCCTGAGGAAGGAGCTCTCAACCAAGGGCCTCCTCATCAGCAGCACTACCCGCACTCCACGCACAGCCCGCCCGAAGGTTATCTTGCTTCCTCCAAACACATGCCTCCCCCCACTGCCCCGAAGCCTAAACCCCTCGATAGAACAAATCAGATGGTGCCTCCCCATCAAGCCTCTTACCGCCCACCCCAGCTGGAAGAGGGCAGCGGGTATCGAGACAGCCCTCCTCCTCCCCCGCCCCCCACATCCACACACCCCCTTCTGCAGGGCACCGCCAGCACCGATAGTACCACACGGCAGCCGTTCTTCAGTAAAACTTCCGCGTGGGAGAGGGAAGAGAAGGAACGAGTACGTCTTGATTCGCGATTTTATTTATTTATTTATTTTTTATTATATACTTCACAGACTTCAGATTTACTTTCAAATTATATAAGAATTTTATGGGAAAAGTTGAATATTTCTTCTTGAACACATAACGTGTTTTTATGCGATCATTCGTACTTTGCAATAGCACTAACCCCTGTTTTTTTTTTGTCCGCAGTACGAAAATCGGCGTCGAGAAGCCGCCAGGCAATGGCGGGATGAGCAGATCGAACAGCTCGAACGCCAAGAAAACAAGACGGCGCAGGAGATCGAGAGACTCAAGACCCTGCGTCTGGAGCGAGAATTTGAGCTACGAGCGAAGCAAGCCGACGAAGAAGAGGATAATTCAGAGGACGATGACGAGCGCATCACAACCATAAGCGAGACGAATAGTCTTGCCAAGCCTTCAGAGCGGCGAGATTCTCAGCCTGAGAGTGACGTTCCCAGAGGTGTTCCTCGAGGAGGCCCAGGCTTTATGCACTCAGGGATGAACGGCGGCGTCTCCAACGACGAAGACCGGGCGAAGAGGGCCGACGAAATCAGACGCAAGCAGCAGGAGCTCGAAGTGGCGAGCGAAGTTGAGCTTAAACTTATACGTGAGGCGCAGAGGAGGCAGGAAGAAGAGGAGGCCAACGTCCGGCGGTACCATAACCAATACAATAAAACTCAGCAACAGGCGACCCAGCGTCTGGATTCCCTCGTCGGCGGACCCGTTCACGAGTACAACAACGGTCCCGTCAACGGTCAGCGACCGCCCAGCACCTACGACCAACAACTCAACAACAACAATTTAAATCCCTCCCCTCCTGAGCGTCATTCGTCTTATAACGTCATGCAGCAACAGCAGCAACAACAACAGTATCAGCACTATCAGTACAACAACGTAAACAACAGCTCAAGGGTCCGTAGCCAGCCCCCCATGGAGTCTCCTCCTTCAGCTGGAGGAACGGTCAAGAGAGTTCAGTTCTCCGAGAACCAGTCCACCAGTGTCCACAACCTGTCCACCAGTGTCCACAACCTGTCCTCCTCCTCCGGCGTGTCCTTCGATGCCAACGCAAACCAGGAGGATTTTTCGCCTACCAAATACGATCATAATGTAAGTGTCCAGGAGTGGATGGCATTAGCTATGAAGTCGTATATGTTACTCTCACCTTCCCTCCTGAACATAATTAGTTTTCAGCAATTAATTTCTGCAATAGATTGTACTGGTGTTGAAAAAACTTAGTTGATTATTAATGCGTTCCAACATTGACCGAGTCTTTTGTTCAGGACTTCATCAACGAAGCAGAGAACATGCTGAACTTCAGCCCGAGTCCCATCAAGCCTGGCAGCGCTCACGCCACCCCAGGTGTCATCGGCGCTCAGGAGGTTTACAGGTAAAGCTTTTCAAAATCGTACGCCATGAGCGCACAATAAACGAGCTTATAGATTATTCCTTGATTCGACATTCCAGTTTTTGAAAATATTTTAAACTACAATTTTAGTTTGAAATTGTGAACCAAAGTTTTTGGCTGCAGTATTTTTGTGAAGATTCAAATATGTCGCCTGTAAGAACTGGTAGTTCACTCGAAGGAATCGGTCATTCATAGAGTTCATCAATCGAATATTAGAATCGAATTAATAGTCTATGGATGTGTTATTCCAATAATTAGTTGGTTTAATTTGTGTTATAACCACCATTCGTGACCAAAACCACATGCATGAAGATTTAGTTGTCGATAATGAGAGTGATTAATATCGATTGGAAAAATAAATCACTGCAATTTTCAATCACGTGTGTACTTTAATTTCACAGTAGCCATAACGAACAGCCTAACTTGAGACTAGCTTAATTACCTTCCCGAATAGTGAATTTTCGAAAGGTTTTAATTTCGCTTAGTTTTGAGTCACGCATCTCGTCTAAAAATTACGAACTTTTTTATATATACTAGTAATATATTTTTGTTGTTGTTGCTGGGACTTGCGTAAAAAATGCTGTAAACGTATTCAAATTGAAACATCACACTTTTGCTTCAGTCCAATTGCTGCACTGCTTTAAGAACCAATCAGGAAGTACGCAACTGATGCCATTAAATTTTATAATTACAGTGGAGCTAAGGCTTCTGGTTGAATTAGTCCTGCACGCATGTGGAGTAAAATGCTTTTGCATATTATTTAAAGTTATCAACGACTTAGTATGCGCTAGAAAACATCTTACTAATAATAAAATGTTTTTGACAATTACAGAGACCCGCGAGTGCGACGGCTGCAGGAGAAGGAAGCAATGCAGGCGGCGAGCAACCCTCGACCTGCGGTGCCCGAGACGCTTACCTTCAGAGAGAAGATGAAGATGTTTGCCGCTGAGACCGGAGACCCAAACACGCCCAAGGATAAGACCAAGATCAGCAAGGCGCAGAGAGAGATCAAATGATAGCCCAGAGTATGTGGTACTGTATTTCCATTCAGAGATAGTCCCGAGGCTGATGACTCGTCAGAGAAATGAAATTTTGGTGGATTTCCGAAAAAGTCAACCCTATACATCATTCAAGTACATACAGCAAAAGATGAATTTTGGAAATGCGATTGAAATTTAAGAATGTCCTGTCGTTTTTTCTGCAGTCATTTTTTTCTGTAGATAAGATGCCTTTACTGAAAATATGCTTTCCTAAAGAAAGCATTTTAGAAAGCGTACTTTACTGAAAATCTGCTTTCCTAAAGAAAGCATTTCATAAGTTATTGAAAAGTGATATAAGGATGCCAGAACTCTCAGGTCTGCCGAATGTGTGCTATAAACTAATATTTTTAGTGCATGAGGTGCCTTGATGTGTGATGCTCACAGTTGGAGATGAAAGACTTGAACATCGGCCTCTCAAAGACTCAGGCGGCAGTATTGGAAGTTGCAGTCTTAGGACCTCAAACAACAATGAAGCGATGCGTGATTTTGTGACAGTAAAATAACAAACGCATTTAGTGTAATTTTGACGTGCCTTGTTGTGCTGGTAAAATGGCATAGCATTGGAAGCCCTTGTTTTCTAGATGTTTTTCAAAGAAAGTGCGCTTATTGTCATACAATTTTGAACAAAGTGATGATTCATTGCGTGGATGCGTTTTGTTCAGCCTTGAGTGGCGACTGCGGCACTGCTGATCGTAATTTACGACAAAATTTGTTAATTGACGTCACAAAACAATTTAATGATTTATCCTTGTAATTATATCTTTGATTAAATTTCGCTGTGTATTAGTTATAATTTTGATAATTTGTGATCGAGTGAGCCTTGATATCGATGGCAGTCATGACGGCAAGGTACACTCGTATGACCTCCACCTTGCCATCTTGTTCTAATAAAATATTTCAGCTAAGTGTGTACATTGTACCATTATCAATATTAGTTTTGATTAAGTTCAGCGTCTTTGTTAATAATATAAGTTATAAGTAAAGATGAGCATTCCGAGTTGTCTATTAGTCAACTGCCGATTTACGTTGGCGCTTTCTTTCGCTTTACATTAGCACACAATAAGCCTTTGCAGCAAGACACATACGCTCTCTTTTTGTCCTTATTTCAGTTTATTTCTTCATGATACTCTGCTTTTTGCTGTGACATGCTGGCATCTCCTCATTGTAGGCAATGGGATTGATTACTTAGAGCTTATAAAATTTGTTTTAAAAAATCAAATAGGTTAAAATATCAAATCCTGCCGATTATATTCTTCAATATTCATGATAATTTATTAGGGTGTAATTGTGCCAAGATGCAGCTGTGTATATTCCTCTGTAAAGTGGCGGCATGCTGAATATTTTCATCTATAATATTGTCTCCATGTTGTGCACTATACATACAGCGATTTAAAGAATAAATATTAGTACTAATAGATTGGGCGACAGGTAGATTGTCGTGCTCAAATACACTATTATCGTTTGAGTGATAGAGCATCCACTCAGAAAAGTTGTCTAGGCAGCGACCAACACGTGATGTTACCTAGACTTGAAAACAGATAACGCAAATGAGTATTTTGTGATTGGAAAAATTTGTAGCTTCCTCCGAAAAACTGTTGCTTTCTTTGCGGTTACAATTTATGTTTTGAACCCTGTTGCTTAATTGCGTTTTCTGATTTCGTAAGCGTTGTTGCTCTCAATATATAATGACAACATGTATGTTCATGTACAGCACGTTATTAAAAGATTTCTATATTGATGACGTCTTCATCATAGCACTGGATAATAAATTGTAAATCGGAAGGTATCGTTTTCTTTACATACGCTGTGTGGTATAACAATCCTGGACAGATATAATTGAGAAGACATTCAAATAGGCTAAAATTGTACCTTATTCGACATTAGGAATGTACAGGAACAAAATTTTTGCATTCCAAAGCTTCGAGTTTATTTCACCCTAAGTTAAGAATAAACGAAACCGTGCACAACATAAGATAATTTGAAAATATTAATCTTAATCAAAATATAATAATAATTCACAAACTTGCTGTCATCGCATGTTATGCAATCGCCCAGATTACAGGTGGAAATTCAACAAAATTAGCTCTAACCCTCTACCGCCGTATGTCACTCTCAGGGAACATAACTTTCAACCTAAATTATCCGTGAACTATCAAGTGTAGCAACCTGAGGACGTTTGTACGCAACAGAGAACATTTTAAAGTTGTACGTGGCGGCAACCATCAGTGCAAGGCATGTTGCGCTCACTAGAACCTATCCTTTTTGGGAAGTAGGCTTGTGACAATATTGCTCCGGTTACTCATGTCAGGCGGTAGAGGGTTAAGATGTTTTAATAATTTACGAGTGTCTGGTGGCCGGATTTGCGTGACCACAGAGCATTTGCAGTTGTGATACTCAGTCTCTCACCCAGCTGACATTATTGCCAACTCAATCATTGATCCAATTCAGATTGATCAGTGAATATCTGGCTTGTCTATGGTGTTATGTAATCGTTCTGGGTGGTCAGCGAGCCAGTGATGGTCGTGGCAACTACCTGTGGTCTGAGTGCCCTGAAAAACTAACCTATCGCCCCCCTCCCTAGTCGGCACAACCAGGATGGGCGGTTTCAACTGTCAGGTGAGACTGTCATTCGAACTTGGAGCAGTTTCTAGGAACCTATCCAAGTTCAGATGGCAGTAATAATTCCTAAGCAATTCTCACTTGACACAATAACAACGCGTAGACTTGCCCAACGCCTGCGTTCAGATGAGCGTTCTGGCGTAGACGAGGGCGGACGCGACGGTGGAAAGGGAGGGGAGTGAGAATGTGGGGAGGGAGGGCGAGGCGGCAAAGTGACGCACGACGTGCGTGAGCGGCACGCAGCGCACACCGACGCGCAGTGACACGGGCGCCCCGCGCTCCCCCAGTCCTGGCAGAGACTCGAATTCTACTTCGCCTGCAGAAACATACTTCATGAGAGTTAAATCAAGGATGTATATACACGTTTCTCATTTATTTCGAATTAATTAATTGTGTGAACAGTTGAAAATATTGATAAAATGTTGAAAGTATCACCTTATCATTTTTTTTCGCAGATGTTTTAAAGGAGCCTCAATTCAATTTAAATTCAATTCAGTATAATTCCATTACATTCAACTCAATTTAAATCTGATTATTATTCACTTTTCTTCAAAATCTATAGTAAAGTTTTCGCGCCACAATTTATAAATTTTTAATTCCTGGGGAATATTTATTAAACTTTAACAATCAGCATCAAATAAAGTACGTATTGACATATCTTTTTACCGCATTATTTAGTAATAAGTTGAATATATAAAGAATAAAAGGAAATGAGTCAAATGACTGACCGCGCAGCGCAGAGGGGCGCAGCAGGCGCAGGCAGGGCGCGAAGACAGGGTTGTGGTGCAGCAGCCAAGCTGCGCCGCGCAGCACCTCCCGCACCACCACCAGCACCACGCGCACCTGCTCAGTCAACGTCAGCATTATTTATTAAACATTACTCGCCTGCTATTCAAATCAAAGTATTTATGCAAAAATATTATGACTGACTCGCAGATTTGAACCCTGTAACTTACTGTTTGGATCAAAGGATATATGAAGAAATATTCCTGTTAACTCTCAGATGTGAAACATAGTGTGAACAGTGAAGCATAATGCAACAGTGAAAATAAAACCGAGATTAAGAAAATGATTCATTAATGGTCTAAAAATTTAAACTGTTTGCATTGCATTCATTAAATATTTCAAGTTATTAAAAAAATAGATGATTTACTAATGAATAATATTCGTGTCAGCGCTTTTGCTTCAACATTTTTTTCAATTTTCTAAATAATTTTCAATTCTACAATCATCATAACGGTTGCAGCAGCAATACTTTCTTTTCTCTCAATATCTTTCGATTCTCAAGGTAAATTTTTTCTCTATATAACGTTTTATTCTCTAAAAAACCTCATTTTCTGAATAATGTTGACTTTCGCTGCCTGACCGACAGGAAGACGACGTAGTAGACGGTGGTCGTGGGCAGCAGGAAGAGCACCAGCGTGAAGATGATGGCGCTCAGGACCCGGGACAACGGGGCTCGTGACGTGTCCCCACAGGGAGGACGGATTGCCCCGCTTGGCTGGTGGATAGGGGACGGCTGACAGTGGAGGGAGTCCACCCTCAACTTCAGAGGATTCCATTTGTTGCCTCTGAACGCCCGCCACTGAGATCCCAGCAGTGAAATTTGCACCATGTGCAGCCTGTAGAGTCACGTTTTGTTGCAATCCATACAGGTATCCATAAAACTAGTTTTTCTCAGTAAAATGCAAAGTACATTGAATTTATGACATAAATAAATAAATTCAAGCCTTTACGAAAAATATATTTCAAAATTTATCATGGTCAATAGGTTGAAATAATCAATTTGTTACCGTATGACTAATTTCTAAACCATATGACTCGTTCTATTTCTATAGAACGCGATTAAATTCATAAGAATCCTTTTTCGTGAGAAAAACTATATGACTCCTCAAATTATATTCTTAAAAATGAAATAGAAACCACCCTCCAATGTTGCTAAAATGAAACTCAATTCTATGTATCGCTCGAGTGATAAAAGAACTCTCACTAAATACAACTGAAATAGCCCTAGAACAATCTTTTATGATTATCAGAGCAACAATCAATGTATTCTTTTTAATGAAACCCTCCGAAGCTCGAACAAATTAAACTGTACCTACATACCTACATAGAGATTAGATTAATCAGCTATATAATGAAAAAATCTTTTTCGAATGATCGGCATTTTGTTGCTGGTGAATAGATGAGAGTTTCAAGTAAACGTGAACTGATAAGCACCTAGCGGCATAGACGTAGAAGCAGTGTAGGTGCAGGGCTGCCAGCTGCAGGAGGTCAGACAGCAAAGCAAGCTGAACGGTGGCACCCAGAGGTCCTGACCACACCAACGCCCAACACAGCGCCCTTACAGCACCTCCCGCTACCTCTGCTCAGTGACGTCTCGTTCCATTATAATCATCATCCAAAGCTTTCATTAACTGAACACATGCAACTCTAATAACTTTCTATAGATGATCGATGAAATCTAATTTTATATATAAATAGAAGAAACTTGCAACCTTCATCTTCTGAACTAAGTGTACTTTTATTTTAATCATTCAATGACTTCCCTGCCTCCCCCCCACAACCTCATCCTCTCCCCCTCGATCCCTCCTCCTCCTCCTCCGCCCCTCGTGCCGCCTTTCCCTCCTCTCTTCTCTTCGCCTCTCCCCCACTCCCCTCCGCCCCCTCCAGTTCCTCCAGTTTATATATACCTACCTACATACGCGTTGTAAGTTTCATCATCTGCACCAAGCAAAATATAATTTTAGTTGTTCAACATTTTTATTATGTACCTAGGTATGCGTTGCAGGTTTCATCTATAGGAACTTTATAGCCTTATCTTCAAATGCTTATAAAACAAAATTTAAATATTTGCAAAAATATTTTCTATAAAAGTAAGCATAAATTTGAATATTTACATCAATACAAAAGAGTTAAAAGACATAAGCAACACATAGGCATCTTTTAATTCTGAAACTCATCCTACAAGAATCCAATAAAATTTCTTCACACTGGACAAGTGTTACAATATTGGAGCTTGTAGTTACACACATAACATTTAACAGAAATGACATATCCCAAAGAAAAAATGTCAACAATAAACTCTGTGTCAAATAAAACACATCAGATGAATAATTACCAACAGCCGAGCTACATTAGTGGACTGGCGAATTGAAAATTCAAATTTAAATTTATTTTCAGCAGTCAAAGACCCACCAAGATAAAGCATCCACAAGCCAACGTGGTAGGAGAAGAAGGTGGCGAGCGCCACTGAGAGCGGCTGGTTGAGTTTCAGTCCTGCTGGCGCTCCCTTCAACCAAGTGAGGAGCTGTAGCACGGCGCTGCTCACGCCCTTATGGCAGAAATTATTTTTATGAATGGAAACAGCATATCATCCATAATTTATTGGCATATGAATTTTTCTGTTTAGAGGATCATTTGAATGCGCGATTATATCAGCAAAAATCTATACTGACTTTACTAAATTATAATATACACACTGCTTATTGAAACCTCAACACGAATACATTGGAACCCCACCTTTTGAATGTGCCGCCTTGAGAATAAACCGTCAATTCATAAAAAATATGTTACGCTATACGACCGCGCTTTGCGGTACGACTCTGGGCACTCAACAAAGTATTACCGACATGCAGGTTGTCGACTTTGCCTATGCGGAGGGCTGAAATAAAAATACAATCTCTGCAATCTTGGGTAAAAATGTGCTTTATTAGGCCCCCCAAAATTAAAGTAATCCAGTTTCAGCCTATTCTAATTGCAGTATATACATGTACGTACGAGATGACTTTTGGGGAGGTCCAACATGGATTGGAGTTTTTTCAATGAATTTCAACGGGAAGAGTAAGTTCGCTTCACAAACCGTTTTCCAGTACGAATTTAGTTCTCAGGGTGGAGTTCCACTATAGACCTATCATGACTAACCTGAGCCATGGAGAGGAACCAGTCGTATATGATATCGGCGCTGCCAACATTCTGGATCCACAACAGAAGAGAGATGCCCAAAGCAGCATCCACAAGTACAACAAAAAAGAGTCGCAGCAGCACTAAGCTGTCACTTGTCGCAGTGGCAGGCATACAGCTCCAATCTATGGAATTACTGCATCCATAAACTGGGCATGCTTTACAACTGAAAGGTTCTTTCAAATAACGATGTGAGTCTTGAGCACTATCACAACTGGGTGCGTTCTTATTGAGGGAGGTGGAATGAGACTGGTATCCTTTTTTATCACAACGAGCTTGATTATTTCTTTTCAGGGAATGTTTTGGGGTGCATTGGCATAAGCAACTTGGGAAAAATTGTCCAATTTTTGATGACATTTGTTCATTTATTCTTTGCATTTCATTCAGTTGAGTCACTCGAACATGAAGTTGTGTTAAAGTTGCTGACTGGAAGTCAAAAATTCGTTGGAAGAAACTTTGGATTTTGATGCAGCATTGAGGAAAGAACAACAAAACTTTCATTAAATAAATTATACTCCCTAGACACAGGTAATAAAAAGTAGAAAATGTTGAAGACTTTTGTTCTTTCTGGGCTTCATGTTTGACTTTAGAGATGAAAAATGAAAGAGATGTATTCGTTGTATCACTTCCATACTTGTTGCACAGCAGACGAGCTTCTAGGATCTCTTCAGAACAGTAAAAAATTACATTTACATTCTTCAAGCTCAAAGCTTGTCCATTGATGAGCACTTTGCTAACTTGGAGGAATGAGTCTGATTTAAATAAAAGCCAGAAAACATATTTAATCCCATCTGATTCATTGTCAATGGAAGACTGATCACTGAATACAGATGGTGAAATGTCACTTCTAACAGGCAACTTGGTATTTTTAGCAGCTGTATAAGTATTATTATCAGAATTGAAGCAATTTTCACATGCAATCTCCCCTAGTATTGTCAGAGGAGAACTCTGGTCTTGGGTGCTGGTGTTGTCACAAGCACTGACCACCAGAGTGTGCTGCACCTCTTGACTGCCTGCCTGCTCTGCAAGAAATAAAATATATTTCATATTTTAGACACAAATATCAAGCTAACAACATTAAATTTATACTTAAACTATCACCATTTTGCTGGAAAATAAGAAAAATTATTGTTAATAATAGCATTTACTGATAAGCAAGCATTGACAGCATTGAATACTGAACAAAGATATTGAGAAAATATTGAAAATATAAGGAAATATAAATAACTTTTATACCAATCATGTAATAGCTAGCATATATTGATATTCTTACCAGAATTTATTGTGCAGTGGTACCCATAAATGGGTAATTTCTGTTTAAAACTCTTAGAAATTATTAGCAGAGAGTCTGGTACAAAAACATTCACATATACAAAAGGGGAATCCATAAGGACATTTCTTGGAAGCTCTAAGTAAGAAGAATATCTCTGTATAAGAAACAAGTAAGCAGAAAGCTATTTCAAAAATATGTACCGTATTAGTATAATTTGCTATAATTATGAGCAATCATCTGGAAGGCTTTCAAGGCAAGTGCATTTTATTCATTGAGTTTTATTCTCTTCATTTTTTATGTAAAAATATGACGTAGGTAAATAAATAAATCTGATATTTGAATTTTAATTACTAAACATTTTAATGGACTGTTTATCTTAAATTTCCAAGGTTTCCCAACTATAATAATACAGCAAATGGAATCCAAATAATATTCAGCTGATTAAACTAAAATACTAGATACTGTACATTAAATTTTGACTTTCATCATCTAGATTCTAGAAAATAGTCTTTTTTGCGCTTTTCCTCATTTATGGGAAAAATGCCCCATTGTGCTTGTCATGTCCCTCTGTCTGTCCATGACTGCACGTTTTTGTTGATGAGAAAATGCGCTCTCTGTCACTCAATGCATATGCAATGAGTACTGAGTTATATTTTTTTCATTTCTTTACACATAAATTTTGAGGTTTAACTCTTTCACGGGAGAGTTACCAAATAAAGTCACTTGATATTGCCTCACAAAGAGACCCACTATGGTTTCCTTTTTGTGTCTGACTCTGAGGTTTCCTGATCATGCCTCAGTTCATCACTAATTATCTGACCATCATTCCATCCATAGCATCTCCACTTATCAAGCCTGAAAACTAAAATATGAGCACAGAGCATTTAAAGGTTTTTAACTTGAATGTTGAAACTTACGCTCTTTCCACATTTTTTTAAAATACAAAAGAATCAATATATTTTTAATTATTTAATGTTATTGAATTTAATTAAATTAAATTTTCACATTATTAATTTTTTCATCTGCATAAACTGAATTTTAAAAATAAACAAAATATTTTGTGTAGTGGCTGCATTTAATAGATTCTTCAAGTGCAATTTAAACTTCCAATAAGCACAATTTTTTTAAATGCTTACAAATAAAAGTAGGGTAAATGCACCATATTCCAACACTGTGGGTAATTCCGACACCCCTTAACCTTTTCCTTTATATCGAGCTCGGTCTCAGATCCACGCATGCGTAGATGGTTGAAATTGTGATGTCATACTATTGAGCGCAATAAGGAAAACACTAGGTCTAATGGAAAATGTTAAGATCCACAGAGCAAAAGTCCAAGTCAGAGCTAGTGAGAACATCGAAACACGTATGAAAGTTGATAGTTGACCTTGTTTTACTAAATAGTGATAAACTGTTTGTGTAGAAAGAATATTATGGTTTGAGGCTTTAAAAATAAATTTGTGAATATATTAGGACTCCTTTAAGTATACTTGTATTTGCTGATTTTAAATGGTAAATAAATTAATAGATGATTGATTTAAGAGACAGTTTTAGACACACAAAAACTAATTCCGACACAGGGTGTTGGAATTACGAATTACGATTTTGAAGCACTGTTAGAATTAGTCTCACAATATGCTGCATTTAGTTGTTGTCGTTGTTGGTTCCGGGAGGGGAGGCTCTGGTGGCGGGCGGGGGGCCAGAACCGGAAGAGGGGGGAGGTGGGCGAAGGCAGGGAGGGTGGCCAGGAAAGCCGATGCCTCCACGGGGCTGTTCCACAGTGAGGAGACGCTGAGAGGCGTGGGGAAGGCGGGGCAGACGAAGAGGTGCTGAACGGATTGGAGGGGATCCCCACAGTCCGGGCAGGCGGAGCTACGGGAGCGTCCGATCGGGAACTGCAGTATCCCGAGCGGAGCTGGGATAACGCTGAGCGGTAGGGGCGAGGGAGTGAAGTCTCCACTGAAGCAATCGGCGGTGGCGGGGCAGCAAGGACAGCGTTTGTGGCGGCAGTCGCCGCCACGCGGGAGGTAATCTCCCTGCGGAGAGAGCGCTTGGCTTCTCCGTATGTCCCGGCAGGCAGGATACCATTTGTCAAGAGTGGTGTGACAAGATGGCCAAACCTCGACTGGATCGAGGCTTTCATAGGGCGGTCACCCAGAGGGGCAGAAACCATGCGAAAGGAGGCGTGGGAGGGCTGGAGGGCGCTGGCGAGGAACTTGGCGCAGGCCAGGTCCAGGTGCTCGGGCAAAGGGAGGACGCCGGTCTCCTGATGCAGATGGGAGATCGGGGCCATTTTAAGCCAGTGGCTAGTCTCAGTGTGGTATTCTGTATAGTCTGCAGGCTGGCAACTGCTGTACGGGAGGCAACAGGGTACCAGATGGGGGCCGCGTAATTGAGAATTGGGCGTGTGATGGCACGGTAGGTGGCGACTATGTCCTCCTTGGAGAAGCCCCAGTTGGTGCCAGCAAGGGCTTTTAATATGCGGAGAGAACCCGTCGCTTTCGTGGCTATGGCTCTTGCATGAGGGGAAAAAGTGAAGTGTGTATCCCAGGTGACGCCTAGGATTTTGGGGGTTTTGTCCAGTGGGATGATGCCGTTGCAGATGGTGGCAGCTGGGTGGTAACGGGTTTGGTGCGTATCTGGGGTGAAGAGCGTGACCGAGGACTTGCCAGGAGCCATGGCCAGTTTCTTGACTGCCGACCAGTCAGCGACGTTACGAAGGAGCGAGGCAAGCTCGGCCTCTGCAGCGTCGAGTCTTGGGGACGACACGAAGATGGTAAGGTCGTCCGCGTATGAGGCAATATTGGGGGTAGGCACTGGGATGTCGGAAATGAAGTGATTAAAGAGGGCTGGCGAGATCACCGAGCCCTGGGGAACGCCTGAGTGGATGGCTCTGAAAGGCGATTGGGTCCTGAGATAGAGGCAAGATGCCTGCCTGCCTCGGAGGTAGCAGCACAGCCAGCGGACCAGGTTGTGATTTAGGTCCGAGGCCGCGATCATGCTTAGGAGGAGGGGGCGGTCGACACTGTCGAATGCCTTCGAGAGGTCGACCGCCGCGGCAACTGTGCGGGCTGGGGGGCGCCGCGAGTTAAAGCCCGTCGTGATCTGGTGCGCGAGCGGGAGGAGGGCGGTGACAGTGGAGTGTCCCGGCTTGAAACCATGTTGCGAGGGGACGGTAGTGAGAGAACCCGAGATGTAAGGGAGCACAAGTCGCTCTAGGATCTTGGCTGCAGGGCAGAGGAGGAAGATAGGGCGGTATGAAGAGCCCTGGTTACCGGGTTTGCCTGGTTTGAGTATTGGAATAATTATTGAATTTTTCCAAATGGATGGAATAGAGGCTGTGACGACGGAGATATTAAAAATGCGGGTGAGGAATTAGATACCGCGTGGTCCGAGGTGCTTAAAATGCAGGACCGTGAGCCCGTCCGGGCCTCGAGCGGAGGAGTTCTTGGCAGCCGCGATGGCGAGCTTCACCTTGTCGGGTGTGAACGGGGAGAAGTCTCTGTCAAGGGGATGTTCCGCCCGGATTCTACGTATAAGGCGGCGGGTGGAGGGGCTCTGGGAGTGGGGGGCAAGCGAAATTAATAACTTGCAGAAGGCAGAGGAGATCTTGCGCTGAGATGAGAGGGTATTCAAACCAAATTGGGTTGGCTGATTGGGGGGAGGACGGTTACACTTTCCTGCTAGGGAACGTAGGAGATTCCAGTGCTTGGACTGGTTCGTGCGCCTGCAGCACAACGCAAGGTGTGTTCGCCATGTGTTTCTGGCGTGGGCCTGAATGGAAATACTAATTTCCAAGTTGAGATCTGGGAGCCGGGGGTCTGTTGGATCACGTGCCCTGATGTCATCCCGTTGCTCAATGAGCAACCGGGTGCCAGGGTTGACCAAGGGGGAGAAATCCTGGCGGAAGCCGGCAGGGATATGCTGTCTGGCTGCAGCAATCAAGATTTCCCTCAAGGTCGACTCACCGCCACACGAGGTGGGGGGAGGGACCGTCTGGAGCCGCTTCAATGGCTGCCGTGTAGGCGGGCCAGTCAGCTTTTTTGAAGTTGACGTATGAGCGGGCAGCTCGGGGGGTCGAAGAGTCGACGGAGGAAGGGAGGTGAATCAGAATGGGCAGGTGGTCCAAATTAAGGGCGACTTGAGGGGTCCAGGAGGTGTCGAGTAGAAGGTGATCGCTGATGATTGCGAGGTCCGGAGAGGAGGGTGGGCCGTGTAAGGGGCAGCGGGTATGGGAATCCTCATTGAGGAAGGCAAGGGAGGAACTGGCGATGAGATCGTCGACTACGGCTCCACGCGCTGCGGCTCTCTGGTCGTCCGTGTGGGAGAACCAGGAAGGATGATGGGCGTTAAAGTCACCAACTATCAGACAGTCGCCCGGTAAGGAGACTATGTCCGACAGTTCTGGGGAATATCCCGCGGGGCAGGAGGAGGCCGGTGGGATATAAACATTGATGATGCAGAGAGGGGAACCATTAACAGGAATGGAGATTGCCATAGCCTCCATGGTGGTGTCGCCATGTAGGAGGGGAGAGATGTCTTGCCCGGTAGGGGATGGGACAGACCGTCTGCACGTACGGCAGATCCAATCTTTGGTGTAGAGTCTAATGTAGCGCAGGCCGGAGCATCGCTTATGGATATAGGCACTGCACCAGAATGAATGTCCACTCCACGTGACTGGGAGGGAGCAGACCGAGCAGGGGGGGTGCGGGCCAGGGTTGGGGTGTATACCCTGGGTCAGGAGAAAAAGAACGAGCAGGAAGAAGAGATGGGAGGAGAGCAGGGCACAAGGAGCCCCTAGAAAGATACCTAGGCGGCCAAAGATGTGGGTAGGGGGAAGAGGAGGCCGAGGTTCCCCTGCCCTTAGCAGAAAAAGTGAAGGAGCCTCCGTCCGGTAGCGATCTGGGCGGGGGGGCCTCTGCTGTTTGGCCTGGCCCACGCGAATGCCGGGTAGCCGGCAAACGCGCAGGCCAGGGTACCCCCACGACGTAAACGAGGCAGAGATTGGGGGCGCTGCATTTAGTCACACAGTGTTGGAATTCAGCAATTTTGTAGATTTGAATTTCAAAGGCTTTTAAATGAATATGGCAACAGTTTGCTACATTTCATCATTGCTGGCGCATAGTGTGGTGTTCTGAGAGTGACGTAGGGTAAACACACCATATTCCAACACTTTAAGGATGTAGCAAGAAAATAATGGCTGTAAAAAGATAACCATATGCGCAACTCAAGTTGTGATTGGTTTACGTCACTCTCAAAACACCA